ATTCTTAATTGAAATCCTCAAAACTGTACCCTCCAACGATTAAGGTGGTCGCAGTTTCACATTCCTCTTATCAACCACTGCATTTCAGCAATAAACCAGAAGACAGTCGAGGAACTGTTCAAGTCTGCTATCAATAATTCGTCAGTAATATCAAGAAAAATTACCTCCCCAGATCAAAAACCATTCCGAAAGCACTGTTAATGAACTATGGAAGAATTATGTGAAAAAAATCAGTCAACATTAAATTGTCAGTCTCTTCGCTTCATTTATGACATTCTTACAATTAGATTCTTCGTAAGTGCGACTTGTGAGAATGAATCATTGTTGTAATAATACAATCGCATACATACATCTTATCGACTGATCAGGTCAATTTACTTGTATACTTCTGAATTCGTCATAATATGTCATCTGATTGTTGACAATACTACTGCAATACCAGAAATTCTGTTTCCAAACTCACTATATGCTCAGTGACATTAATCGTAAGGTACGTAACATTAAGCAGTTGTAACGCAAATTCGAAATAGTCCAATCTGAGCGAGTCGCTCTGAAGTTTTTCCTATTATATCAAGAAGTTCACTATAGCTTTCCTGTCTCATCGTAGACCCGCTAAATCTCCACCAACTAATATTGTAATTGACTGTGGCGTTTTAACGTCTACAGTGCTAATATATTTTATGTGCCTTATGTCGGTCAGTCATTCAATTAAGTTACTTGTTTCATCGTTGTACCTGAGTCTCTGTTCTTACTGAAAACTGATTATTATTGTATTGCGGAGAGGAAAGCTATCATCACTTCTCATCTTCTTCAATAAAATAGGAAAAAGTTCAGAGCGGTTCGCTCAGACTAAACTATTTCGACTGCCCAATACTACACACCTCCTCACATATTTCCCGCAGCGGTGTTACTGTTAAAACGATTTCTTTACGATTGTCAATAACAACTTCGATTATAAGGCAGTTTATTGACCGAGAAATAATGTATAATAAAAATAATATTAATAATAAATAACATCAATAATGAAAAAACGTTAATATCGATGACACTAACAATAATATTAAAAAGTATGATAATGATAATATAAACAGAGACAAAGTTAACGAGAATAAAACTCACTATAATGTAAGATTATCACGTGAAAGAGATTTGGGGAAAAACTTTCGAGAAAAATTTTGAGGAAAAATAATCACTCAAATCAACTTCCAACGAGTCAAATTAAACCGAACACTGAAAAAGGATGCGAAGATTTCACAAAATCTGAACTCTCTACAAAATGCGTAAAAATATACCGAAATACATTCATTCGAAACACCACGATTGAACCACCAAAACCAAAACTACAGTACAAACTAAACGATGCACAGTTAAACTCAATTATCTTCTTTTTCAGATCTTCACACGACAATACAATATCTCAATCAATACAAATAAAGAGCATACACAAACGATCCACAAGAACCTTTGAAGCTGAGTCTCAGATCACTCAATTTCGGCTGCTTATCAATTTTCTTTTTCAGTGTTCGGTTTAATTTGACTCGTTGGAAGTTGATTTGAGTGATTATTTTTCCTCAAAATTTTTCTCGAAAGTTTTTCCCCAAATCTCTTTCACGTGATAATCTTACATTATAGTGAGTTTTATTCTCGTTAACTTTGTCTCTGTTTATATTATCATTATC